GGGACGGGGACAGGAGGGGGCACCCACGTCCCGCGGGACATCGGCCGGTCGCAGCGGGAAACGTCCCCATCCCTGCAGGGCCTCCATCCATCCCCGCGGGTCACCTCCCCGGCCGCTCCAGGAGGCACATCCCCAACCCCACGTGTCCCCACGTCCCCGTCCCCCAGGGAGCCCGGGGCGTCCCGGCTGCCCCCCACCACCCGCTGCAATCGCCCGCAGCTCTTGCGACACCCCGGTGCCAAGGCGCTGACGTGGGTCCCCGTGCCTGGCCTTGACCAGGGCTGGGCCCCCCGGACAGGGGGGAGCAGGGCTGGGGCACCCTGGGGACACGGGGGGCCGGAGCCCCAGGTGCGGGACCCCGATAACGCCCCCGTGCCGGGCTGGGGCGCAGGCCGGGGTGGTTCACAGCCGGTCCCGTGACAGCGGGCGAGCACGTGGGGCTCTTATCAGCTGCCCCAGTGCCGGCACCCTCCCAGGGCGTGGGTCCGAGGAGGGGCAGGGCGCAGGCCATGGGGCAGCTCGCGAGGGGACAGGGCCACCCCCGCACCCCCCAGATCACCGGCACCACTGGCATACAAAGGAGATCTTTATTGAGTCCGAGGTAGCAGCAGTGAGGGGGGGCCGGGGGCTGCGCCCCAGGGACCCCCGAGCAGGATGGTGTCCACACCACTACAGCGATGGAGGCAAAGCTGAACAGGGCACGGCCCGCAAGGGGGGTGCCCCAGGGCCCCCCGCCCTCCCAGGCGGGGCAAGGACCAGCCCCACTCTTTACTCGAGGAGGAATCACTGCCAGGGGAGCTTCATTAAGTCATTAAAAATAAGAAGAGTGGCCTCCCGTAACTGCTAACCTAAAGCTACAGCGCAGCAGGGGAGTCACGCTGGGGCCGGCACAGCCTCACCGCTGCGCCCCCCTCTAGACACTTAGCGCCGACATCAAAAAAACCCCCAAAAAAAAAAAAAAAAAAAAAAAAAAAAAAGATACTTCAGTGGCAACACTATGCAGAACTGAGGAAGCCCCAGAGACGACGGCAGCCCCCATCCCGCAGCGGGACGAGCCTCCCCGGCTCCTGGAGGGGAGGGTGGCAGCAGCGAAGCGGGAGCAGCGCGAGCCCGATGCCCTCACACCTTCAGGACAGCGTACTTGAAGACAGCCATGATGGCAGCGCTGATGAGACCCGAGATGGGGACGGTGACGAACCAGGCCATGAAGATGTTGCGGAAGAGACGCCAGTCCACCGCCTTCCTGGAGCGCAGCCAGCCCACCGAGACCACGGAGCCCACCTGCCCGAGGAGCCGGGGCACGGCTCAGCCTGGCAGCGGGTGCCCGCCCTCCCACAGCCCTTCCAGGGAAAGCCTCAGCCGTGGGGCCGAGGGTCTCGCTCCAGCCCTTGGGGACCCAGCAGACCCCAGAGAGAGAGGAGGGCCAGAAGCCACCATCCTGGAGCAGCACCGGGGCTCCCACGGCCACTCGGCAGAGCCCCGGGCTCCATCAAAGGGGTTTTGTTCTCCCATCACCTCCCAGTACCCCCTCACCCAGGGACTCCTCCCAGCCCTCCCAACCCCGCATTCAGATGCAAATGGCAGAGCTGGGAGCTGAAGGCCAGCCAGCAGTCTGGGCTGGGGCCTCCCGCACAGCTCAGCCCCATTAGCGCCAGGATTTGGGGGAAGCTGAGCTTGCACCAAGCCAGCACCGACCGCTCCTGCTCCTGCCCGCGCCCCTACCTTGCAGTGGGTGGTGCTGATGGGGAGGCCAACGTTGGAGGCAATCACCACCGTCAGGGCAGACGCCAGCTCGATGCTGAAGCCACTGCAGAGACAGAAAGCGCATGGGAACCCGGGCAGCGGCCCCTCCGCACCACCCAGCCGGTCAGGCGGGCTTAGCCCAAGCCAGACCCGGGGCTGCTGTCCCCAGGCAGACCCTGCACAGCAGGGCCAGCTCCTCACTTGGCTCTCCAGCCCCCCAGCAGCCCCAGAACGACCCCCCTCCAAGGGACACAGGGAGGTGTTATGGGGCCACACGCGCCCCAGCTCCACCTCCCAAGCAACGAAACCCCCAAAGGGAGGATAGAGAGGGACTCCTGGAGCGGGATGCAGCTCTAGGACTGCCTGAAGCTCCTCCCACCCCAAGGCAGACCTTACCTGGATGGTGTGATGGGAGTCAGGTCCTTCCCCATCGTCTGGATGACTCTCCTTCCCCAGACCCACAAACCGATGCAAATCCCCGCACCTCCGTAGAGCAGCAGCCAGATGGGAGTTGCCACCTTGGTAGCCACATCGCCTGTCTGATAGACCAGGTAGAGTGCGACCAGGGGCCCTATGGCATTGCTGGAAGAGAAAGGAGAGCTGGTCTAGAGGGCCAGGGGCTCTGGGCAAGGTGGGAACCAGCCCCAGCGAGCAACCCCACCGCTCCTGCCAACCCAACTGACCTGACGTCGTTGCCACCGTGAGCGAAGGAGCCAAAGCAGGCTGTGAGGATCTGCAGGAACTGGAAGAGGAGGGACACCTCGGGCTTGTCCTGGTCATGCCATTCTTCCAAGGAGCTACTGCTGCCCTTGCAGTTGCTGACTCCCATCTCCACCTGGGCTGTGTTCAGGTCCACATCAGCCGCCGGGTGGGCATCTGCCACCGCGTTGCAGTAGCTGGTATAGCTGTCCATGCGGACCCTCTTCTTGGTATCCGCCACGGGCCAGGTCAGCTTCTCCATCTCCTCGCCCTCCTTGGCGCGGAGGGAGTCCAGGGGCATGCCGCAGATGGCCATGGTGTAGGAGGTGTAGCTGTTGTTGCGCCGCAGGGGCTTGTCCCCCGAGTCCCCCATGCAGTCCCCCATCTTGGCCAGGTGTAGCTTATGCAGCAACTCCTTGTAGAGGCCGGAGTCCTTGTGCACAGTGTGGTACTGGTACTGCCCGCTGGAGCTCATCTGGTGGCCCACAGCCTGGTTGAACTGGACGAGGCTGCCGGTGGGCAACCGCACAGCTCCTGCCAAGAGAGACGGAAAAACCCCCCCGGCCCCCCCGTGCCCCCCCCCCCCCACTCACCGCTGTCAATGCTGGTTTCCTTCAGGTCAAGGCTGGGGAGCCTCTCCTGCTCCGGGGCCTCCTCCAGGTCCCCCAGGTTGAAGGAGACCATCCTCTCCTCCACCGCTGCCCGCTGGGGCGCAGCCGACCCCACATCAGCAACGGGGCTCTTGGCATCGCCCAGGGGCACCTTGGGCTCCTCGTGGTCCTCCTTTGGGCTGATGTTCTTCTCCATCAAGGGGCTTTCAGAAGGACTGGATTTGATCTCTCCTGTGAAGGGAGGCAGCTGCCATCAAACCTCTTCCCACCACCACCACCAGGAGCAAGCCCACACCCCTCACCACTCAGATTTATGGTAGCTAAATAAAAATTTACAGCTTCCCCCCCATCCTGAACTTTGGAAACGGCTGGGCAGTCGCACCTTGTCCCAGGCACAACAGCCAAACCATCACAAGCCAGCTCATCTCCTATTTTTAGGCCCCCCCCACCCACACGGGGTGTGGTGAGCACCATTATGGGGCTTTTATGCCCGTTCTTCCTACAGCAGAGGTTCCTCTTTGAGCCATGTTTGTCCCATCCCCATTCCCGGTGGCCGTGGGATGCTCTGGATCTGCTTCTGGGGCGGTTGCGACCCTTGAAGCCGATGGGAAGGTGCCCAGAAGAGCCTAGCTCCTCTGCCAGCCCATCAGCTCCAGCCTGCCGGGAGGACTCGCCCGCCTGGGCTCCTCTCCAGCTCCCGCTGGTGGGTGACAAACCCACACAGGAGCCGGTCTCCACCTCCCAAGGGCAGCCTGGTTTCCTGTCCCACTGGAAGAGCCAAGCCAGCAGCACCAAGCCCTGGAAGCTGAGGCTGTTACTCCCCCTCTACCGGGAAAAGCATGTTTTCTCCAGGTGAAAACATGAGGTCAGCTCCTTCCGACAACAACAAAAACCACCTCCTTGTCACAAACATGACCATTTCCCAGCCAGTTTGCTGCTGCAAGGGCCGGGCTGTGGCATCAAGCCCCTGCAGAGCTCCTCTCCCCCTGCACCGCCACCTCCCCCAGCGATGCTCTCCGGCAGGCAGGCTGCCTCGGCAGGCAGGGGAGCCCGTCTGGCAGGCAGGGGAGCTGCCTTGCAGGCAGGAGTTAAGCTGAAGCTCAAACAGCTGGAAGAATGTCAAGGGCAGCCATAAAGCTGTTAGTCACACCCCAATTACACCAGTCTGACAAGGACACTGGTTATCCCCTCATCTCCAGTTCCTCAAGTGCCCCAGACTGCACACAAAATTTATATGCAAGACCACACACGACTCCAGGAGAGCTGCCTGTACTTTTCGGGAGGCAGAGCTCAGGACTGCTCTTTTGGATGCCTTTCAATAGAGATTTTTTTTTTTTTTTTTTTTTTTTTTTTGCTACAGGGAAAGGATTTCATCAGCTTACACAGCTTTAAACTTGTGATCTGCATCTGCCAGGCCAAAGATTGATCAGCAGGTATGCAGAGGATTAAAGGTTACACTGGTTAACAGGCAGGTTGTCTCCCGCCTTCTCTTTTTCTCTATTAAACAGTGAAATCGGGCTGTTTAATATTGCCTGCTGTCCTGTGCAGGTGAAGGAGAGATCGCCCTGCTCAGAAATCAGCTGCCAGATGCTGCTTGGCAGCACAACAGCCACTTCGAGGGGTATTTTGGGGTGCCAGGGAGCAGCTTTTTGGTGCTGCGGTGGGTTAGGAGCACGCAGGGTCCAGCTCGATGAGATGTGCCCCAGCGACTCAGGGTTTGCAGAGCAGCTTAAGCGATATCTGAAGCTGAGGATCCCTGCTAATAACAGCCCTGCGGCTAATGAGATCTCCCGCTGGGAAAAGAAGTTGGTTAGTCCGAGCATGCCCTTCCCCAAAGGATTGCAAAGAGAGAGGCATTACTTACGTTCGATTTTCTTCTTCATTCTCGGACATACAAAGAACCAGACGACGAGAGCACAGACAACAGCACTCCCCGCCGAAATTAGGAGGATACCCCACAGAGGAAGTTTGTCAAAGCCCAGCACTAG